CATTTATTTTTATATAGCGCCTTTCATAACACAGTTGCCGCAAGGCAGTAGAGGGTGCAGCAGTGCGTTAATACAAACGTGGATTGTAGTAGCAAAAGGAAACTTCACCGTGTTTTTCTTTTCTTAAGATTCTTCAGTAAGACATTGACATGAAGAATTACCCCTGGCCCTCCCCGGCTAATTCCTCTGTCGGCCAGTTGGAAATTCCACAGTCTGTTGGTTTGCAGTTCCTCAGGTGGAATCCAGACACCAGATCCTTCTTAAGGGCTATTTTTGCCGGCAGAGGAGCTGTAATGCGCTGCTTCAGAAAGCACTTTGACCTGCAGAGACGTGCAAAATCGAGCAGAAAGGTTTTCAAGCAGATGTTGATGTTTCTGTTTGCATTTGTCGTTCCTGACTAGGCAGGTCGTTCCTCCCAGTCACACCCCTGCAGGTTTCACTGTCGTTACCCACGTGAGCGTTAAAGTCCCTCAGCAGAACAATGGAGTCCCCACAAGGGGGCACCTTCCAACACCCCCTGCAAGGCCTCCAAAAAGGCTGGGTACTCCGAACTGGTGTTTGACGAGTACGCACAGACAAGTCAGAGCCCGTCCCCGACTCGAAACTGAAGGCAGGTGACCCTCTCATTCACCGGGGTGAACTCCAACTCACTGGCACTGAACTGGGGGGCAATAAGTAGTTTCTTTTAGAGAGATAAGGCTCTCTCCTGGCAACCCTTCCAAACAAGCCATACTTGTTCAGTCTATTTCTAATTGTACTGTCATGAACTTTAACATTTAATATGCTGAGTCCTGTAGAGTATGAGATGAATTTTATACAAAACTGTGACTACAATCAAAAACCTACAATCAAAAACCTAAAAAATGCCAGAAGGCTTGTATTATGTTTAGTTTCTAATGGTTAAGGTTAGGGATGGGTAGGGGTTAAGGTTGTCATTGTTGTCATTGTTAGGTTTTTGCCCATTGAAATGAATGGATGGTTCCCACAAAGATATGACTACAAGTCTGTGTGTGTGTGTGTGTGTGTGTGTGTGTGTGTTTTTGCTTTCCTAGTGTCGCATTATTAAACTTGTCACCATGCATTTGTCAATATGGATGTCTGAGTTACTTCTGTCAATGCTAAACAGGCTCCAGAGTTTGAGAGAAGCCGGACACCATGTCCTTCCCAGCTTTTACCACAGGGGGGCGTTGGGAGCATCTTGCTATACTTTACAAATAATTTATTTCTGTAGGGAGGGGTTGAAATTGAATGACCAAAAAGTA